AAAAAAAAAATCCCCCCCTTCATTTTTTCTTTTTAAATCGCTTCTTAAACTGAGCAAATCAGAAGCAGAAAATTAGAGGAAAGACGACTTGCAAAAGGTAAGCAGCTTGGTTGCAGAGAGAAGTGGTAAGCTCACAATCTTATAGCAAAAGAATACTTTCAAAATCCTGACTTATTAAAAAGCATTCTGCCTGGCCCGTGTGATACTAAGCCAAATATCTCTATATAATCTGAAAGGGGTTGCTGGGGCAGCACTGACACATTATAGCACATTTTATAAATGCCGTAAAACAGGTTAAATGATATACACATATACTCTGACATGTCAGAGAAATAATATGTTTTAGATAAATTTCTACTCATAATGGTTAAACAAAAAAAGTTTTGGTACTTAATTTTTAGTTGTCTCGCAATTTCATTTTGTAGTACATCTCTTTTTCTGACAAACGCTGGCTCAACCATATTTACTTGCATTTTTGAACCTCACAAATCCCTCTCTTCCTATTTTGAGAGGAAAAATATTTTCTCCACATTATTTCCAAACTGTGGTAATTACCACTGAGCAGGGTCATCCAGGGGAGAAAGGCATTTGTTTGAGGTTCCAATATACCTCCAACAACCCTATGGGGGAGACACAGAAACAGTGAACTGGGGCTGATTCTTCTTCCTGGGGAAACCAAGCCCAAAACCTGAAATTTGAAAGGAAATCCCATGGGTGAAATTTTACACTTTGATTCCTTTGCTAACATCTACCTCTTTAAGATAAGCAAAGTCTTAGAAGTCCTTTGCCTTAAGTTTATCACCTATTCCTCCCAACTATCATTCCCCAGAGTTCGATTCCAGGACAGGTGGGAAGGCTGCAACATAGAAGAGAGAGCTGAGAGGAGAACCATAAGCATGATCAAGAAGAGACAGGATTTTTAGATTTGCCCTCTAGCAAATCAGTTCACTCAGCGTGGTTAACATATTTGTTCTCTTAAAGTTCCTTATTTTGTTGTTCCTTGTTTATTGGACAAAGAAGTAGTGTATGATTACCATAACAATCATTTTTAGCAATAAAATTCTGAATTTAGAACTATAGTCTAACTAGCTGCCTCACTGAATGATGCCTAAGTATAGATAAATTCTCCTTAGCAATGTGGGGATGCCATAAAAACTAACTGGAGTTGTCTAAGACCTAGGATAAGAAGGACTCAGAAGAAACCTTAGTTTCAAAATGCAATTTTCATGTGAAGGTGGAGGATGGGGACTATATGAAAAAAAACCAAAAAATTAGAGCAGAAATCAAAGTCCCTTAATGCACAAGGAATATATGACCAATTATGATGAGTAAGCTCTTCTCTTAGGTGGGATGGACTGAGTCTAGCAGTCAGGAAAAAGCTTCCCTTAAGGTCATAGCATCCTTCTTAAAGGGTAAAGAATTACAGCAAAACTTTCTAGATTCTCAGTACTACCAATGTAACATTATTCCACATATATTTATCCAACTGTGCCTTTCCCTGACTTAAAATTTAAAATAATTTTCCAGAATGTATGTCAACAAAGACCATTTGCCTACTACTGCAGGCATTTTTTTTACCCTCTCCTCTATTTTTGCTTTGTGCTCCAGCAATACCAAACTGTTAGCAGTTCCCTCTAATAATGATGTTTTCTCTGCCTACAGCCTTTCCCTAAACTCTTTACCTAGAAAACCACTATTTTTTTTAAGTATACTATATTCCTCATTCCTTCAAATGAACTGTTTATCTGATGAATGTCTTTTATGGCTATTTAAAGCCTTGCCCAAGGGCTGGCTCATGTGGTAGAGTGCTTGCCTAGCTCTTGTACCACCCAAGTACTTCCCAGTCTAACTGTATAATCCTCTGGCAAAAGCAACGACTATTTCATTAAGTAGTTCTCAAGAGCATACAAAAATCAAACAAATTTTTGTGCATTTGTTACTATGCATATGAATGTCATGTTATTATCTGTGGTAAAAATGCAAGGGTTTTATAAACAGTCTTGCTTCCAAACAAACCTGTGATGTTGGTCTTTAAAAGAAAATTGCCTTTCAGGCAAGTAAGTAAATATGTCAAATGTGATAAACCTGGTGACAGATTCAAGGTACTTGGTGCTAATATAACGTGTTAAAAACTTATCCTTTAATATGTGAAATAAAAATCTTGTTTTAAAAATAGCACTTGTGTGCTGGACTCACTGCCTCACCTCTGTAATCACAGCTACTCACGAGGTGGAAATTGGGAGGACAGAGGTTTGAGGCCAGTCGTTAAAGCTAGGAAATCCCCGATTTAACCAATAAAAAAGCTGGGTATGGTGGCACATGGCACCTGTCATCCCAATTAGGAAGCATAAATAGGAGGATCTTAGTCCACGCTGGCCCAGGAATAAATGCAAGACCCTATTTGAAAAATAACTAAAGCAAAAAGGGCTGGGAAGTGGCTCAAGTGTAAAGCCCTGGCCTAGCAAGCACAAAGTTCAAACCCCAGTACCATCCACCAAAAATGAGCAACAAAAAAACACTTATGAAAATAGAAAATATTTAATTGTAAATACTTTGTTATAACTGTTGAATATTTGCCGAGGAATTTTTTTCTTTTTGGTGGGAATGGGGTTTGAACTCAGGGCTTCATGCTTGCAAAACAGGCACTCTGCCACTTGAACCACAGTCCCAGTCCATTTTGCTCTGGTTATTTTGGAGATGGGATCTCTTGAATTATTTGCTTGACTGGCTTTGAATCTGAATGCTCCTGATCTCAGCCTCCTAAGTAGCCTGGATCATAAGTGTGAGTCATTGGCACCTGGCTGCCAAAGAATTTAACAATTGAAAACTTAATCTTCCTCTAAATCTCCTTTAAAAATCAATAACTATTACTTAACAAATTGGCAAAATTTACATGTTATAAAATGTAATGCTGGGTAGGATAGATAGGGAATTATTGTTGGTGAATATTTACAATTATGTTTTAATGTCCTAAAATACTGATATTCTTTGGCTCAGTGATTCCATTTCAAAAAATTCATTTTAAATACAAAGGGAAAAGATAAAGATGCTCATTTTTGTAAAACAGAAAAACTGAAAACCATCTAAATGTTCCACAACAGAATAAATTTGATCCAACTGATGGTAAATAATTGAAAGTAAATGCTATTTTAGTATTTACATAGTATTTTAGTATTTCACACACACATAAATATGTAGAAAATGTTACAATACCAGATGAAGAATCAAAAGCAAGAATCAAAACAGTAAGAAGTCAATTATGTTTTTAAAATACAGCAATATAAAAGTAGGTGGAAATGGATTTAAAATAGTTTTAAAACAAGCACCTGTGGAAACTCATCTTCATCTGAGCTGTGAAAGTCATATTGCTTAATGTCACTTTTACTGATCACAGGCAATGTCTCAGGAATGGGCTGCTGAGATGTTACCAAAGCCTCCACTTTAGGCTTTTTTGGGTACTTCTTCTTTTGACGAACCACATCAGAAGCCTCTTCTTTCAAAGACAAATGATGAGGGTGCTGGTTACATGAATTTTTTCCCCCAAAAGGAAGAAAAGAAAATCATTTTAGAAATCATGAAAAACAATACTGCTCTTTGAAAAACATTCACTTTTATGAAGTAATTTTAGGAAGTAATTTTACTTCTTATTTTAGTATGCAAAAAAATTATTCTGTGATCATAAATTGAGATGTGCTTTGACATGTTTTATTTTCTGTAAGTTATAATGAAAAATAATTATGGCATTAAAGTTTGCTTTTTACATTATTGTTAGTAAACTGTCATTTTTTAGATTGTTCTATTATAATGCCATTCAGTATTTAAAAGGTACTTAAATTTATTCTTACTTAAATCCACTGTACCAATGAATGTTAGTTTTTTTTAAAATAAATTGAATTTAAAAAATACCTTGAATTAGATCATAAATTCATTAACTCATTTTTACACTTATTACCAATTTTTAAAAATGTCTATGGATGGTAATCTTTCAAGAGAAGTAAGTTAATTAACTAGAAAAATCCTTCATTTTCTAGAACATACAATTCTTGCCTCCACTGAATGACAATCAATTGGTTCTCAAGTACCCCCAGGGTTTGGTGGAGTTACCACAAAGACCATCTACAAAGGGAATAACTCACTGACAGGGTAGATTTCTAACACCTATCTCCCTTTCACAGAGTAGTTCTTTTCTGTTGTAACACATTAGTATTTCTTTCAGTAAAAATGAATCTACATTTAAAAAAAGCTGGAAATGACTATTGAGCAACAAAGTACAAACAATATGAAAAGGAAAAATTATTAAAGACCTCAACTTCTTAAGGTGAAGGATGAGTGAAAAAGTAAATACTATGTGTATCATGGTAAGATGAAAATGGGTGCAACCAAATCTCTAAAATTAGTATTTAAGCAGGCTATTCTTAGAGAACTAAAACAGGATTCAATAAAGGCTGGTTCTATCAGTAATTATGGTTTACATTTTCATATTCTAATACCTAATAATCACATTCCTAGGAAAAGCATTGACTAATATAAAATGGATTAAAAATAGCTTACAAAATGACATTTGTTGCACTGATTGCTTTTTTAGCTATCAAAGCAAGTATGATTTAAAAGAATCAGGTAGATGGGCCAGCTGCCTGTGATTATAACTTGCTGTTTGAATTGACATGAGTTGAATAAATGAATCTGTTTGCTCCACGTTCTTCCTTGACGTTTAAGAATGAACCCCTGAAAAACAATTACTGTGTACATTTTTAAAAGATGAATTTTCCACAAACACCCTAGATCACTTTTAAAATTTTGCTTCAGAGTAAGGATTTTGCTTCAAGTCAATGTTCTTTTTATTGTTGTGCTGGGGGTATATTATGGCATTTATAAAAAGTTCTTACAATATATCAAAAACATCATTGTTGAATTCACCCCTCTATCATTCTCTTTAACCTCCCTCTCTCAAGTCAATGTTCTTTATTTAAATCTACACTTCTTAAAATTTAATGTTTTATTAATTTTTATATATTCCAATTAAATACTCTAATATAGCAAACAAGTACTGAACAGATAAAATTATTTAGTTTAAGAATAAAATAATCACTAAGTCTAGTTTTTTTACTAGGAAGAAATTGAGATCCAGAAGTTATAGGACTTTCTCAAGTCATTCAAGGTAGGTAATTAACAAATATTGGTTTTGGCAATGATGACACCAGAATAACTTTTATTTGAAAAAGTTTTAAATTCTAGATTTTGATGCTTGCCACTATAATGAAGAGCTTGGTAAGGCTAGCTGACAATATTCTCTAGAGAAGCAGGTTGTATATTATAAAGTACACTTTGGTAGATGTGAATTCATACTGTGAATGTGACACTTAGAACTAAATTCATGTTATTTTTCTTAACCACCCCATTTTAAGACAACTGCAGAAATCAGTACTTATTTGATCAATATTACCATACATGCTTCTCCCCAGAGAATAGTCACCTTAGTTTTACATTCTTGGACTTTGTGATGATTTCCATTATGAAGAGTTGCTGGAGTGGCATATAACTCTTTTTCTGATCTATTGATTTTCACTTCATTAAGGATTTCACCTCCATAGTCTCCTAAATGATATCTTGAAAAGATAACAAAATATAAGAAATGTTACAGATTTTAATGATAAAGAAAAAACCCAAAACAATCATGTTTCAATTAACTGAACTAGCAAAATAGAGTCAATGGTCAAATTATTTTAGAAAGAGAAAATTTACAGAAACAAAGCAGCTCATATCTGGGATTCAGTAACATAAGCTAAAAAAAAATGACTAAGCTATACAGAACACAAATTTCTCATATACTTTATATTATCAAACACTGGGAAATGTTATTTAAAATATTTTACTTTGGCCACCTGACAAAATCCCATTAGGTTTATTAGTTTAGTCTATTTAACTATGCAGGACAATATTACTGGAGAATATACTTTCATAAAAAGTTGAAACAGGAAGTACTGTCTGCCTAGTCCAAAAATAAAACCGAGCATTCACTTCTTTCAAATTTCTTTTAACAGAATCTTTAATATAGAAGTGGGCAAAATAATCTATAGATTTTTTTTCTAAATAAAATTCAATGGCTCTATCGAAAAAAAAATTAAAGTTTATTAGAAAATCTATACCGCACACCCAAATCCCATCAAATCTGAAATTCAAATTAACAATGTAATTTAACCACAAATCTTCCTCAAAATTTTTGTTAGAGAATCAATATTTTGTCATAAAGCTTGACTCCTAATCCGTACCCCCAATTCTTCTGATTACATTTTGTCCATCATTTGGCTAAAGGAACCATTAACATGCAATAGTAGCATTGTTACCTTTTTTCCACAACTTCTAAGGTTAAGTGCAATAATTCTCGTTTTGTTTTCTCTCTTCTCTTAATCATTTCCAAAATTGTTATGGCTCTACTAAACTCTCGTCTCAGTTTCAACATCTTTTCATAAGAAGCTTCATCATTCTTACGATTCTATTAAAATTACAATTTTAGAATTAAATTATTTACATTTCCAGCTTCATTCAACAAAACCTTACCACATCAAATAAATTAGGTAAAATGCTTAAAAAAACCCAAATAGTAACTATGTGAGAACCCATCCGTAGACAGTATATTCAAAATACAAATACAATAAATATCGCTGGATAATTCAGGAAAAAAAATGCTGGCACCTACTGAAAATATAGAATGGCATAGAAGGGATAAGTCAACCATAAACAAATTTCAAAAACCTCCACCTAAAACAAAAACCGAGTATACCAAAAATGTAGGCCTTGTATTATAGCAGGGTATTTTTTTTTATGCTAGAAATAGTATGCCAAGATGAAGGTACCTAAAAATGACCCAAATGAGTTTCTGTCTATGCATCCATCCAACTCTGTTAAGTGGGGACATAAGGTCTACTGTACTACAATGTAATCATGAACAATGACAATCAAAACTGCTCTTCAGAAACTTGAAAACTGAAAGTAGAATGTTAAGCATCTCAAGAAATGGGATTATCATGCTTTAACATAATACCCCATTGTAGAGTAGAAAAGAGAATCAGCAAAAATTCTGGGTTTTAGAACATTAACTTGTTCTTACTTTCAAGCATAAGACATAACTTTAATTGCAAAGTAAAAGCCCTTTAAAGAAAGCTCAGGTATAATGAGCAGTACCCATCTGCATATAAAATTACTATAATATGAACTATTTTCTTAAGTCAAACATTCACATAATATTTAATTTACACTGGATACCAAATTATGTTTAAAAACAGACCATGACCACCCCTCAATCTAGGTGTCCAGAACTGTACTTATGCAATTGTTGCATCCTTGAGTTCATAATTCAATATGCATTAGAAAGAACCTGTAGAAAGCCAAAGGTTTCAAAATGGAAGATTAAGAGAAAATAAAAAGTGAGTAGACCGTAAACTTTATTTTTCTTTTGTGTTCATTTTGTTGCATTTGAAAAAACATCACCTATTGAAAATAACCTAAAGTAAGTCCTGTTATGGTTCTTTATGCAGAATAGTTTAAAATGCTAAGTCAACAAGTCATCCCTTTATTTCTCCGTGGAGGCCACTGCACATGCCTACTACCCTCAAAAAGGTTTAAAGGCTAGTAAGAATGACAGACATACAGAAACAAAAGTTGAACAACAGTACACATGCCAGCTGGCAGCTAAGTGATATTAAAAAATGCACCAGAACCTTTAACGATTGCTTCCCTTCTCTTTAGTAAGTATTGTTTGATTCTGTTTTTCTGTCCTGTCTTACCCATTTCCAGCTCTCTTTAGGCCTTAATAACTAATTCTTCCTAATTTTCCTTTCTCCCATCCTATACTTTCTACAATTGAAAAAAATAAAACAAAACCCTTTTTATTTTGAAGTAATTTCAGGGTAACAAAAAAGTTACAAGAACAGCACAAAATAATTCCCATGTATCGTGTACCCAGATTCACCAAAGATTAGCATTTTACATTTACTTTATATCTGTGTATGTATATATGAATATAAACACATACACATAGATTAGTAATATTTAAGAAAATCTGAAGATATTGTCCCTAAACATGTATCTTTTCTAAAAATGATACTCATATAATCACAATATAATTATAGAAAACCTAAAGTTAACATTGATATAATCTTACTATCTAATTTCCAGATTTTATTCATATTTCAACAATTTTCCCAATATTGTCCTTTATAGCAACAACTATTGTTGCTGCTACAAAAGCACATTAGTGGGACAATAATAATTGTTATTATTAAAATTTATTAATAGGTTGGGTGCAGTGGCTCATGCCTGTAATCCAGGTACTTAGGAGGAAGACATAGATTGCAGTTTGAGGCCAGCCCAGGCAAAAAGTTAGCAAGACCCTATCTCAGTCGATAAATTGTGCATGGTGGTGTGTGCCTATGGTCCCAGCCACACAGGAGGTCTCAGGATCTTGGTCTGAGGCCTGGCCTGAGATCTTACTTAAAAAATAACTAAGGCAAAAAAGGGCTGGAGGCATGGCTCAAGTGGTATAGCATTTATCTGCCTAGCAAGTGTGAGGCCATGAATTCAAACTTCAGGTCTGTCAAAAATAAAACAAAACAAAATAAAAAACAGTATTTTTTCAAAGTCTAAGATCTGACTCAGGATTAAAAACTCTATTTAGTTGTTTTGCCTCTTTAGTCTCCTATAATTTGGAATAGTTCTTTTGTCTTTCTGTGGTGATCATGATCTTGACATTTCTGCAGAATGAAGATCATTTATTTCTGTAGAATGTTCCTCAATTTGAGTTATTGATTTTTTCCCCATGATTAAATTCATGTTTTATATTTTTGGTATAACTACCTCAGAAATGATACTGTGTCCTCTCACATCATCTCAAGAGTCAGATGATACACTTTATCCTATTATTGCTGATCACTTAAGATGGCTGTCAGGTTTCTCAAGGCAAATACTAGTTTTTCCTTTTAAATTAACAAGCATGTAGTAGGACTATGTAAGTATTGTTTCTCACCAAATTTTCCCTCATTAGTTTGGTGTCTACTGACTCTGACTTTTGCCTAAAATATTTATTACTATGGGGGCTACCAAATGATTTTTTTTAAATTGTACCTTCTGACAATATTTGAAAAACTACTACAAAGGAGTGTTTTCTCTTTCTCTCATCCATTCACTCATTTATATCAGTATGGATTTATGGGTTATTCTTGAGTTACAATTCATTACTCTCCTTATTTTGATGCTCTAACTTTCCCAGCTCAGATCAGCAGTCTCCCTTCAAGATGGTTTCCTGTATCCTTCTATTATGGCTCCAACATTTTTCAGTCACATTCTTATTTTCTGGTATTGCAGAATGTTTCTTCTGGACTTATCTTTACATTTTCCCAGGCCAGACCTGGAATCAACCACTTTCCTAAAGAAACCTGGTTCCTTTGAATGAAAAACAGTATTTAAAATCAAGCTATGTATCATAGGCCTGCCTGTTGCTATTGGGTATCATTATTTCTATAGCTTTTCAGAGACATCTATTTCTAGCTATATCAATATTAAAAATTATGAGTCCACACTGACATCTTTTCTATTTTCTTCATTTATCTCTTCTCACAACTGTCTCTGCCTAGGACCAACTCCTTTCTTCTGATTCCAGTTCTCTACTATACTTCTATACTACTGCCAAATCAGTTTGGTTTACAACACATCTAAACCAATCACATTGCTTTTAAAAAGAACTCAGAGGGTGGGCATGGCTCAAGTGGTAGAGTGCCTGCCTAAAAAGCATCTGGTAGCTCTTGTTTTCCAATTGTTCAGCTATATCTCTCCTTCCTCATATCCAGTAGTCCACATTTATAAAGTTTTATGTTATTTACAAACCTAACTAATTTTAGTCTTTTCCAACTGAGGTGTTATACCTTTATACAATATCTTAGATTCTCTTATCTAAGAACTAGAATGCTAAAATGAAGATTCAGTCTGGTTTAAGAACATTCAATTATTCTTAAGAAATCCATCCCCTGATGTTTAAGAAAATTACAGTATATACTTTCCCTGGCAGCTGCGATGCTTCACAGCTGTTATGTTAACAGCTGACAAAGATAAGCTTTCAATGTTAGAAATAAGAATCCACAGAAAATGCTTTGCCTCAAATCATAATTCATCATGGTCTTTATATTATATGTTCCCAATTCTTTGTGTTCTTAGAGAATAGGTTACCATGTGTAGTATTTACTGTTAATTATGACAATTGTGAATACCCCTAAGAAATAATGTTTTCCATTATACTTTATCATTCCACACAATGAGGTTTGACTCCTCTTATTTAAAATTCTGGCTTATTTAAGATTCTGAAACTCATATAAGGATAAATCCATCTGAAAACTGACACAACTGACAACACAAAAAAGGAGAAAAAGATTCCATTACTACTTTGACAACTGCCAAAACAGGCTTGAAAATGAACCTTTCCCTACTTCCCATGACCCCATAGTAGCTAGAGGCAGCCAGGTTCATTTTTACTTGCAAGAACTAGAATAGTTTCAAAGGGTAAGCTTTTTTTTTTTTGGTAAGCTCCTCAGTACCAAAAAGGAAAAGTAGTATTCAAACTCTCAGCTTCCTAAGCAGAAGGAATTCATGATAGAATATAAGAACCCAAATTTCCTAGGTGTGTAAGAACACAGAACTCCTCATATAACTTTAACTGCAAGCCTAAAATGGTATGATCAGATTTATAAAGACCATGGGTAGTATATAAATACTATAAACACATGGCTAAAAGAAGCAACTGAAGAGTAGGATATCTAACATAAAATTCATCGGTGTCATTAACTCCCAGTATGTTCATATTATTCAAGCTATTAGAAAACTATCTTAAATACTATTAAGCTATATGCAATTAAATCTTATTTGTACATTACCTTTCGAGTTTGCATTTTCTCTGTTCTCCTTCGAAAGGCAACGTAAGGGTCATTGTTAGTAGACCCATCTCTTTTTTCTTGTTTGATCTGTGGAATGAGGGATGGCCCCCTGCAGTTTTTACGTTTTCTCACCCAGTAGTCATATACAGCTTTAATAAGATAATCATCTTCATTTAGCAGCAGTTTTGCTTCTTGAAGTGTTACAAGCTAAATGAAAAACACAAGATGTCATTTGACTACAATGTTTGAAAAAGGAAACAAAGTTAAACTACAGCTTCAGGAAAAAATGTGATCCATTCTAGCAATTATATCAGATAATTATTGGCAGGGGAAGACACATTTCAATTTAAACTAACAATGAATTCATTAATTAGTAAAAATTAGTATTTTTCCCTGGGAGGTAGTAAGTAGTTCTACAACTTATAAACTATTTAAGAAAGCTGGATAAAAGATATTTTTGAAGACTATAACAGATTTCTGTGTTCAGTAAGTCTTAGACTAGAAGGTATCTAGGGTCTTTCAAAGTTCTGATATTCTATGATTCTAAACATTCCAAGATCTACTAGTTCTGAAGTCTACTAGTGTCTACTTATCTGACTGAATCTTAACAGAAACCAGAAGATAATAGGTTTCTTTTTATCTACTTCTAAAATACAATATACTGAAACTCACTACAATATGCCTATTTTGGAACTCATAAAGAAAAGGACAAACAGCATGTTTCCACAAATTTCAAAATTAGGAAACTTTGAATTCCTCATATGAAATACTTAATTACATTTAAGCCGGCTAAGTGCTAGAGAAGCCTTGTTCTTAACACTCATTCAGCTCATGATCATGTCTGGGACAGTGGTCCTAAGATTTTCCCTAGGAAATCATAGGAACCTAGCTCTCCTTATCAGTGCAGCCAGCGTAACGCTGACATACCTTATGAAAGTTTGCTTGATCACGTGTTGCCTTGCTCCTTTAGAAGACCAGAGGAGCCAATTAGCTTTAGCAGGTTGCAACAGGAGTTACACATAACCATTTGCAGTGAACTTCAGAAGATCATGTTATTTTAGAGCTGGAAACCCTTACTGAAATGATGCCATCCCAATCATTGCAGTTTTTTTTTTAATTTTTATTAGCACATAATGGTTGTATAGGGGAATACACTGTGATATTTACATATGTGTTTACAATATATCTTAGATTTACCACCTCCATTGTTCTCCCTCCTCTCCACTCTTCCCCATTCTTAGAACAATTTCTTTTACTTTCATATATAAATGCAAAATACATCTAGCCTATTCACCCTCATTTACCCTTATGTCTTCCCCTCTGTCACTGATACCCACCCACAGAAAAGATCTATTTTAACCTCTGTCCCTTATTTTTTTTAAAGTGTATATTGACAGTCCAGAGGGCATTGCCCTGGCATTTCAGACATGCGTATTTTGTGCTTTAATAACATCAGCCTCCTTTCATCACTTACTCTTTCTCTATCACCCTGCTCCCCCTCCATTCAACATTACATTATATAATATATATTACAATATAATATATATATTACATTCATATATAAGGGATGTTTCAATATTTTTCATTCTCCTAATAATTTATTTCCCTCTCCAGGAGCCTTCCGTAGTCCCCTCAGATAGACCCATTAATACAATATCTCTCTTTCCTCCCCACCCTACATATATGATCATATATGTATTTATGTGTACATTTAACTTACAGGTCTGGTTTCCACAGGGAAAACAAGCAACCTTTGACTTTTTGAGCCTGGCTTACTTTACTTAACATAATGTTCTCTACTTCCATCCATTTACTTGCAAACAACATATTTTCATTCTTCTATATGGTTGAATAAAACTCCGCTGTGTTTATGTACTATAATTTCGTAATCTGTTTATCAGTAGTGGGGATCTGGGCTGTTTCCAAAGCTTGGCTATTGTAAATAGTGCTGCAATAAACATGGGTGTGCAAGCAGCTCTAACATATCCTACAGTATATTCCTTTGGATATATGCCCAAGAGTGGTATGGTTGGATCATATGGTAGTTCTGTTTTTAGTTTTTGACAAACCTCCATACTGCTTTCAATAGCAGTTGCACTAATTTACATTGCCATCAGTAGTGTAGGAGTGTTCTTTTTTCCCCACATCCTCACCAGCATTTGTTTTGTTGGGTTATTGATAACAGCCATTGTAACTGCAGTGCAGTAGAATCTCAAATGTTGTTTTGATATGCACTTCCTTTATGGCCAAGGATGTTGAGCATTTCATTTACTGACTGACTGAATAACTGATTGTACTTATTGGCCATTTGTACTTATTTTAAGAACTGTCTGTACAGTTATATGCCCATTTATTCAGTGGGCTATTGATTCTTTGAGTAGTTTTTTGAGCTCCCAATATATTTTGGTTATTAAATCCTTTGTCAGATGTATAGTCGGTGTCATTTTAAAATTAAGGACTTTTTTTTTTCAGAAGAAGTAGAAATATGTTCCTCTAGAAACTTAGAAATCAAGGAAGTTTTTTTCTAAAATTATAAAATCAATATACATATAGATCTGTATGTTATATGAAATCATGTGAAGTAGGTATGACATATATATGTATGGACATATATACACACACACACACACATATATGTGTATATATATGTGTGTGTGTGTGTGTGTGTGTCACTTAATACGCATTTCATCCACTTAAGAGTAGTGTAAACCAGTATCTAACTGGCAAAAGGGTCTGTGGTAAATTTATTATTTCCAAGACAGTTCTAAGCTGTTTGATTCTTTGGGAGTCTAGAGACGGGCAGGCAAAAATTGACCTACTATTTGGGCTTTCCTTTTAGATCAGTTTCATGAGGACAAGGATCTCTTTGCTAACAGACAAAAACTGTGGCCTAGCAATTTCAATATATTTTGACTATACAAATGAATACATAAATTACATGTGAAAATTAATTTTTTTATTTATAGAAGTCAATTAAGCTAAAAGTAATTAATGATTAACTATCATTAGTTTACAGGCTGTGGGGAAGAAAAGCAAAAAACAAAAAACAAAAAAACAAACCCAATAACCTTTAAGATAAATTCACTCCCCAAAGAAACTTACAGAATGGCAATAGAACATAGTAGTAGTACAATAAAAATACCAGGCAGAGTAAGGAAACTATCAAGGAAAGGCTGCATTTTTATGCTAGTGATTGGCTATCTGTCTTTGTAAAAAAAAAAA